TCCCGCCTGGGGGAGCGGCCCCTCCCTGCCCTCTGGAATTGTGCCCCAGCCCCACGGGGCTCCCCGGACCCACAGCCGTGCCCTGGCCAGGCGGAGCAGACTGTGGGATGGTTCCAGCTCTGGAGCTGCCTTTGGGGTGGATGTGCAGGAACGTGGGGGGACAAACCCCAGACTGCTCCGGGTGCAGCAGTGCTGCCATCAGCTGCTCCACCCTTTGTCCCGTGCTAAGGGTGGGGGTCCCCGGGGGTCCCCTGGGGCTCCCCTCTGCTCTGGGAGCAGTGCAGCCAAGCCCACAGGAACCAGCGGGAAGCAGGATTTCAGCTCTGCTCCATCCCAAGCAGGGGATCACCAGCTCTGCCCCTCCCTGCTGCATTCCTGTGCTCCAGCTGCAAAGCCCGGGCGTGCCAGGAGTGGCCAAAGCTGGGACAGCTCCTTCCCGTGTCCCCTCTCCCTCCAGAGCCGGGCGAACCTCGCCGGGGCCGTGGCCAGGTCAGGGGTCCCGTGGTGACCCCGAGGGCTGGCACCTGCTGGGCTCCCTGAATCCTTCATGGATGGGACTGAGGGGGGCACCAGGGAGAGCCCAGGCCATGAGGCTTTCAGTGTCCCCAGGGTGTGGGGACACAGGCAAGGGCAGCACTTTGGGGCTCCAGCCCATCGTGTCCCGTGCAGCTGGGCCGTGCTGGGCTGGATCCAAGGCCGGGTTCCCATTTCACACCCTCCGAAGAGAGGGAATGAGTAAAACCAGCGGCATCCTGGGGAAGCTGAGTCACTCTTTCCTTTCTCTGCCCGGTATTTTGAGGTATTTTTAACAGCCCTTATCCGGTGCCCGGGGAGGGGTTGGTGGTGATTTCCATCCCCCCCAGGGGTGCACGTGGCTACCAACCCCGCCAGGGCTGGGGCCCTTGTCCATGGATCAGCATCTGCAGTGGGACAGAGCCGTGGTGGGATGGAGCACACAGAGCTCGGGATGCTCCTGGTGCTGCTCCTCATCCCAGGTCCCATCCTGGTTCTCCCCTGCTCCAAACTCCCCGCAGAGCTGGGATTTGCTGCCTCAGCCCTGAATCTCCGTGTGAATCCTCTGTTATCCCTGCTGGGCCGGGAGTTCAGGGAAAGAAATCCCCTTCCCCCGTGGCAGCCCCAGGGAGGAGAGGCTGGGATACACCTGGAGCTGGGGGCAGAGGAAGGTTCTGGATCTTTCCTAACCCCGATCCCTCCTTTCCTTGCAGGTGCCGGCACCTGCCCGGGCAGAGGTGGCTGTGACAGCTGAGGGCAAAGAGCTGGTGCTGGTGCTGGAGAGGAACCAGTGAGTGTGGGGCTGGGACTGGGGAGGGGACACTGGGGACCCCTGCCAGGGTCCCACGTGGACTGGCAGCGTTCTGGGCACCCTGGCCAGCAGGGAAGGGGCAGCCCAGTGTGGCTCCTTTTGCCACCTCGGTCACCTCAGTCTGGGCTCCTCCTCTGGTTCAGTTTGGATGCAGGTGGCAGCAGCACGTGTCCCCTGTCCCCTGTGCCACCCCCCCAGCCTGGCCTCCCCTGGGCCAAGGACAGAACCTGTGTCCATCTGCCCTGCCCTCCTGTCCCTCTGCCTGAGACCCCACGGCATTTTACAGAATCCCAGAGTCCCAGAGAGGGTTGGAAGGGACCCTGAAGATCCAGTGCCACCCTGCCATGGGCAGGCACATTTTCCACCAGCCCAGGCTGCCCCAGTTCCGTGTCCCTTGGTGGGTTTGTGTCCCCGTGCTGAGCAGGGCAGAGCTGACCCCTCTGCTCCCACTTCTGCCTCTCAGCAGCAGCTGGGGGAGGCTGGTCCTGGCAGAATCCCCTTCCTGCAGCTCTTGGGACACAAACCCGGCCACCACCGTGTCCCCCAGGGCCCCCAGTGACAGCAGGGGAGCACAGGGTGTGCAAGAATGGGAACTGGGGGGTCCCTCTGCACATTCTAGGGCTGAGGGCAATGGGGTTGGAAGGTGATGAGCAAAGCTTAGCCTGTGTGTGGCTGCTGCTCCAGGCCTGCAGATGTTGGAGTGTCCTGTCCTGCCCCTGCTCTGGCTCGGTGCCACTTTGCCGTGCTGAGGGGGGCAGGAGGGTGAGGAGCAGCCCTGGGGGCTCTGGCAGGGTGGGCAGGGAGGAGGGGGAGCTCTGGGTGAGACCTTCCATCTTTTTCCTGGCACTGGGAGATCTGCTGGGTCTCCAGAAGGGTCCTGGGGTGTTTTCCTCCCCCTGCTTTGGTGGACAAGGCTCATGCTGCCCTCCCCTCCCAGGGCCTCTGTCCTGCCTGGACAGGACATGCCCTGGGCTCAGGATTTGCCTTTCCCGTGTCCTCAGCCCTCCTGTCCCCGTGTCCCCACCCTGTCCCCGTGTCCCTGGCAGGGAGCAGCTGAGCTGCTGTGTCCTGTCTGGGCTGTGACTGGCATCACTGGTGCCAGGCACCCACTCAGGGTGCCCCCAGGGACGTGGCTGGGGCCACTGGTGCCGAGCAGCAAGTGAGAGGTGACAGGGCTATTCTGGGAGTGCTGCTGCTTTATTTTCATCTGCACCATTCAACCTTTGGGATGGTGCCAAACCCCCAAAAGTGAGAGCTAAACTGAGAGCAGGGGAAAACCTGGCAGGCTTTGTCCTTCTCTGGGGGGCTGAGACCCCTGCGGGGACCTGGCACCCCCAGGGGGACCTGGCACCCCCAGGGGGACTGCAGGCTTCCCATCACCCTGGGATCTGGGCAAGGTCACAAAGATCTGGGCAATGCAGGAAACCTTTTTCTTTTTTTCTTTTTTTCTTTTTCTTTTTCTTTTTCTTTTTCTTTTTCTTTTTCTTTTTCTTTTTC